TTTTTTTTCCATAGCATCTTGGATACTATGCATATATTATTATCAAAACATTTTTTTGAAAATCTCTCTGAGGATATTAATGATAATTCCTTTAAACTTTCTTTTTCCCTAAATTGTCTTCTTCTTCCTAGTTGATGATTTTTTTTTTTTTTTGTCTGTTTGTTTTGATGTTGGAATAATTTCTTTTAGAAGGATGAGCACAATGTGGTCCCTATGATGCAGTGGTCAAAGATGTCCTAAATGTCCATCTTTCCAGGCTCCTGTACCACTTCATCATCTTTAATATCAGCCACTCCTCTTCCCCTCAGAACTCTCTCTCCTGTCTTAGAGTTCCATAATGTGCTGTAAGATCTTACAGAACTCACGCACCACCAAGGAAATGGCTCACTTAGTTGTGGAGGTTGACAAGTCCCAGATCTGTGGGTTAGATGCCAATCTGGAGGATTTTTCTCACTCACATGTTTGCAGGGGCTGACAAACCCAAATTGGCAGCTCAGATGACAGGCTTCTGTTGTCTCACAAGGCTGTGGAAGCTGGTGAATCAGGTCAGATGAGAGTCTGCTTTCTCAAGTCCTAAGAACTGGAGGTTAGATGATGATGAATCAGATGCAGGATCCAGAGCAAAACAGAGAACTTTGGCAGAGCATTCGTGTATGTTGGATGCAGACATGCCCTCAAGGAAACTACAGGTGGTGACTTGAGTCACACCCTCTAGTAAAGCAGTGACTCGGGATACAACCCACCTGATCCAGCCTCATTAATGTAACAGACAACTCATTGCAAAATGAGACCATAAGTACAGGCATACCAAACCAAAACCAAACTCACTGCCATCAAGTCAATTTCGACTCATAGTGACCCTTCCTTGGGTTTCCAAGAGGGTATCATTATGGAAGTAGATTACCCAACCTTCCTTCCCAGGAGTGGTTGGTGGGTTTGAACCACCAATCTTCTGGTTAGTGGCCAAATGCCTTAGGCACCATGCCAGCAGAGCTCCAAACTATAGGCATAGAGGCTAGAATTTACAATACATCACTAAATGAGGGACTATGGCTAGAAAAGCCATATTAAGTAATTCATTGCAACATGGGTTTTCATTATTTAAGAGTGGGGGTTGGAAAGCTCATTAGAAATTCTGAGCCTGTAGGTGGAGCTTGACAACTTTGGGCTTTACAGAAGGATGATCTAGTTGCCATTTTTGGGGGCCACTCTGATGTCAGCATGTCTTTTCTCTTGTGTTGGTCACATTATCAGAAAAGAATCTTCTAATTCCCTGGTTTGAGGTAAATGCCTTGCTGCTAAGGTTGTGCGAGTGAAGTGAGGGAAGACAACGGCGAAAGTTTCAACATTAAGGCTTCAGCATGTATATATATACCAGAATTCTGTGGTATACAACTGATTTGTTCTTGACTTTTTCAACTTTCTGTATTGGACTTTCTTGGGACTACTAAATCAATCACTATTGACCATCTGCTTTCCCACTTCCAACATGTACTCCGTCTCCACTCTTATTGTCCTTGACCAATTTCTTTTTTTAAAAAAAAAACCTTTACTTTTATTTGGTGGAGTTTTGAGTAGGAGTAAAATTAGATGCTTGTGTTCAATTTACCATTTATACCCAGAAGTAAAGATATAGTTTAAGTTTAAGTGGAAACAATGTTAATCTACCAAAAAAGAAAGAAATCTTGGATTTTTATTTGAATTATATTAAACCTGTACATTAATTTGATAAGCATTTAAATTTTTACAACAGTCAGTCTTCTTATCCAAGAACATGGGATGTTTCTTCATTTATTTGAGATTTTTTTTTTAATGACTTCAAGTTATTTTTTTTCCTCTTCTTGTACATTAGTAAGATTGCATTTTATTTTTATTGTTTATTTTTGAAATTAAATGCATGCAATCCTTTAATTATTTATACTTTCTGAATTCTCTTTATGTCTCTTAATTGTTTCTATTCTCTGAAGCCTGGTTCACTGGATCAAGCAATGTTGGATGCTTTAGTGATGGATCGGGTAGATTTTGTGAAACTCTTAATAGAATATGGGGTAAACCTCCATCGCTTTCTTACCATCTCACGACTTGAAGAGCTCTATAATACTGTGAGTATCAGAATATTTTATCTATCAGCTCCCTGAAGATTCACTTATTAATTAGCTTAAGATTTAGCCATCTCTTTGTCCACAGACAAAGACAATTATATATAGAGAGACTTCCCCACCAAAGAAGAAACATTCTTATCGATTCCATTTTGTCTTATGGTCATTTATGTATTTCTCATTTTAATAAAATGTGCTTGAAGAGCCCATTGAGGTACTCAATCTTTACACAGAAGAGAGGCATAAATTAAGAAAATACAGTAGTAAGATATAATTAAAATAAAAAATGTGAGTAAGGACAAATGGATTTTATTGAGTTATAGAATTCTAGTATTAAATTTCTCTTCTTGCAAAAATAGTACGCAAATTCTGTTGAAACTAGACTTGCTTACTCATTGTGAAAACACCAATTACTTAAGCCATGCACCCTACTTGAAATATCCTCCCTTTTAGTTTTCTTGAATTTGTCCTTTATTCAAAGCACTATCAAGCCCTATCTTCTTGCTTACCCAATTCTTGCCCTATAGTACTAATTAGTTGTAACTGTTTTTGAGCATACACATCTCCATATTATTGGTTTTTTAGTGTAAGAACTCAGACTCTTAGATTGTGAACACCCTAAAAAGAAAAGGCTTATATTGTTTATTGAGTTCCTTAGAGGCCTGATTGAACATGGTGAGTGTTCAATAAATAATTGTTTAGAGAATGAAATAATATGGTAGGATAAATTAGGGCAAAACATTTGTATATGCTAAAGGATAGTTATAAATTACATAAAATTTCTTTTTGTCTCTTGTCACATAAATTTAATTAAGCCCTTCAGTTTTTCCTCTCTCTCTCTCATTTGCTTTGAAAAGTATTTTAATCTAATTACATCTCTTGGGAAACACCTTCCTTAAAGTTAATTGACTTAAACTTCATTGCTAAAGATGTTGATGAAAAATTTCAGTAACGGTTACTTATGCATACTGAAATAATTTTTTCCCTCTTACCGCATGGTAATTTAAGGGAATAATTCCTCCTTTTGTTTATTACAGAAACAAGGACCTACTAATATGCTCTTATATCATCTTGTCCAAGATGTAAAACAGGTAAACTAATTACAACAGCATGGTGAGAATTTCTTTGTAGTTGTTTTGACTTTGTGATAGAGGTGTCACCTGATTTTTCTTTGTAAAATGTAGATTTGGATTTTTCTAGTGAAATACCTTCTATACCTGTGGCTCTGAACAATTTCTTTACCAAATTATACTTACATTTTTTCTCCTCAAGTTGTTAAAGATTTGATCAACCAAATAAGTGGCATTAGTTCATAATTTTTTCCTGTAAAAAAACTAAGAATTGCAGACATGTAAAACTTGTAATCAGAACTTCAATTCAACATAATATCACTTTACCACCACTGATGATAATAAAGGCAGCTAAAAACAGAGAAACTTGGTGGTTCTGTTATCTCTTTTTAGAGGACAAATACATGACTTGTAACACTGTTAGTATTGCTTTAAATACATATTGCTGATATGTATTCAGCTCAAATTTATTTTTTTAGTCTAATGTAAAGAGTCAGGGTGGAACTCATTTCTCCATATCCTTACCCATATTTTGTTCATGGTGCTCTTATTGAACATTAAATTAGACTGCATTTAAAATAAAATCCTTTGCTCTTCCATGAGTTACCAAACTTTCCAAGTTTAACAGACTTTATACCTTAGTTCCTTCTTCTTCTTCTTCTTTTTTTTTAACTTTTTATTGTAATTTGGCTAAAACTTTACAGAGCAGATTAATTTGTAATTCATTCATACACAATTTGTTTCATGACATTGACTGTAGTCCTCACAAGGTAACAGCACTCTTCCCACTTCCTCCCTGTATGTACTTTTTCCATTCTTCCGTCTTTCTTATCCTTTCCTGCCTTCAGAGATTTACCGCTGGGCAAATGTTGCCCTTTTGACCTCTTATGGTTGATTGTTCTGAGAAGTGTTTACCTCCCTGGTGTTATTATTCACCTTATAGACTTGTCTATTGTTTGGTTCAAAGTTGAGCCACTGGAATGAGTTCAATTCCAGGCTTGAAGGGTGACTGAAAGCCATAGCATCAGGGGTTCCACCAATCTCTATAAGACTGGTAAGGCTGGTGTTTTTGATGATTTTGAGTTTTTTCCTCATTCTTCTCCCACTCTATCCAGGACCATTATTGTAATCCCTTTTAGAGCAGTTGATTATGGTAGCCAGGCACCATCTAGTTCCGGGCTTAGGGTCATGGAGATGGGGTTTTTCTGGTCCATTACTCCTTTGTGCTAATTATTTTCATTTCTTCACTTTTCTTTGCTCCAGATAGGGAGATATCTATATTGCACCTTAGATGGTTGCTCACAAGCTTTTAAGACCCAGCCACTACTCACCAAATAGGATATAGAAAATTATCTTTGTGGACTATGTTATGCCAATTGACCTTGATGTCCCTGAAGACTATGGTCTTAAGTTCCCAGGTCCAGTGACTTATTATCTCAAAATATTTGATTATGACTAAGCAGTCTTCATAATTCCTTCTCTTATAATTACCAAGAACTTTTATTCACATCAACAGAAATTAACAGTGCTTTTTATTTGTCACCATGCTTGAAATCGATCCACAGTTCAGTTGAAAAAGTTTTTCTCACACAGTTCTTAAAATGATCATCTTCCTGAAGTCTAATATTTGATGGAGAGATTGTGGGCTTTGTGGGTGTATTGACTTGGTGGGGGAGCCGTAGTGACAGGATTGAAAAGGAAGACATTTAGTTGACAAATTAGTAGTAAGCAAAAGTGTCCATGCTGATTCAAGTTTAGTTTGTGTTCATGTAAAGCAAATTGATGGCAATGGTTAAAGTGCTTGACTGCTAACTGAAAGGTCAGTCAAGCCCACCAGCTGCTCTGTGGGAGAAGGACGTGGCAGTCTGCTTCTGTAAAGATATACACCATTGGAAAGTCTATGTGACAGTTCTATTCTGACCTATATGGTCACCATGAGTCAGAATCAACTTGAGGACAAGGAGTTTGGGATTTTGGTTATATCCAAATGGCTCATGGCATAGTGGGTAAGTCATTTGGCTGCTAACCAGAAGGTCCATGGTTCAAACTCACCAGCTGCTCCGTGGGAGGAAGATGAGGCATTCTACTTCTGTAAAGATTTACAGCCTTGGAAACCCAATATGTGTCACTATGAGTCAGAGTTGACTTGATGACAGTGGATGTGGTTTGGGTTTGATACTTTATTTCCTTAAACTTTAATCTTTTCACAGTAAAAAGCAGAAAACAAAGAAATAGGTTGAATATGTTTTTAACCTGTAGCAAATAAGAGCACTGTTTTTGTAGTTCCTTGATAAAAAGTAAATTTGAATGCGGAAAAAAGGAAACAAAATGATTCACACATGCAAACTTGTAGTAGGTATATAAAAGTTTATTTCTTTTTCAAAGCTTTCTTTGCATTATTCACTACTTATTGATTTCAGACTATGTTTAACACTCTTTGTACCTCTAAACATTTATCATGAAATAGATAGTTATGAAGAGATAGGAAGTTGGGTTTTAAGCTGCCAAGATAATTTTCATTTAGACTAAGACCTGTGCACTTGGAAATCTGTTGCTGAACTCTCCTACCAGCAGTGATATTAGTCTTGCCACAGGTTCATGTTTTGGCTCTGCCATTCCACATTCCTATTTCTATTTGTTCTACTTCCTTGTATATTTTTCTTTTTCATATGATGTAGTCAACATAAAGAAAAGTGTTGTAGCCATTTCCATGAAGAGAAAGGCTAATGATTTAATCTTGGACCATATATACACCTCACTTAATGCACATGGTTATATTGCCAAGACCAAATTGTTATGCAGAAATAGGCATTATGCAAAAATGCAAGATGTCTACATCACCTAACCCCCTCACTGTACTGAGAATGTTCTGCTGGGCCCCTGCTGTGGTCATCCGCTACCACCACCACTCCCTTCCCCATGTTGCCTCAGAAGACCTCAGCCCCCACCTCTGCAGCAGGTTGCCTAGTCTTCTAGAAACAGGGTGGCCCAAGTGCCACACCCCTCCCCATTCCTGGGTCCCCTCCCTCTCCTTTGCTCACCATATTTTCAGAATAGATGGCCCTGGCTCATCCCCTCAATGATCCCCAAACACCTTCGGTGGCTATGTTGGAGCAGGGGCACATGATCCATGGGCAGGATGGCCTGGGTGCCACAGCTGGGGATGCATGCTGCCTGCTGGGTCTCTCTAGTAGCCTTTTGCTTGAGCATCCCCTCAGCGCTCTGTGGGTGCCCCCCTCCCCCCGTCCCCTCCATGTCCCCATAACAATGGATAATCTAGAGCTTCCTCCAAGGCTGTAACAGCCAGGCCTGGCCTTTGCCCTTGACCCTAAACTGCAGCAGCTGCTGGCTACTCATCCACTGACTCAATCCCTGGCCAGGTAGGCTGCCCACCCTGACCTGTGCCCATCCAAGAGGAGGCACTGATGAAGTGTAAGGGGCTGCACAGATGCTGGTCTGCTGGCATGGGCTCCCAGGGACCTTGGGCACCCAAGTGCCTCATCACAAGGCTCCTTCTGACCGTGGCATGGACCATGTTTATCACTCCTTGGGGCTGGATGCTGGAGCCTGATCCTGGGGTCCTGCTTCCTTTTGTTTCCCGAGGGCAGCCCACCTTCAGGATGCCAGTTGCTGTTGCTCTGCCTGAGCCCTCTGTGGACAACCAGTACCCTTTGTTCCCTTTCCCAGCTGGACCTACTCCAGCCCCTGTCCATTCTGCCCAGCACCCTGGCACCTCAGGGAGACGGCACCCATTCTCCTATCCTGGGTGGTGAAATACTATGCAATATGAGCTTTCTTTCTATGTAAACACAGGGTCTGCTGATCAAAAACTCCATCAGAGAACTTGGCAGTTGTTACAGCCAGATGTGTGTCATTAATGCACAAAATAGTCACACAGGAGATTTTTTACTATTGTCATAAATGCAAAATTTTGGATAACGAGATAGTTGATAAGGGAGGAGTAGGTGCATATTATTTACAGGTAAGAATAAACTTTTAAAGTATAATTAAACATATTTATTCTAAAAGTGGTATGTATATGTGTATGCATGAGAAAGAGAGGTAGAAAGAGAGCAAATGAGTGAGAAGATACATACACACATTCTTTGTCTATGAAACTAAAAACTCTAATTAATGCAAAGTATCTTTTTTCCTTGATGTAAGCATATTATATCAAGAGCTGGTCATATTACTAGATCACTTTGTAAAGATGATTGAAAAATATGAGTCTACTCTTTGATATTAATTTGGTTATGTGTTAATGGCACAGTGAAAGAGATAGAAAAAAAGAATTGCAAGTAATGATTTATGACATTTCTTTTGTTGTTGCTGTTGCAGAATACCCTTCTCTCAGGCTATAGAATCACGCTGATTGACATTGGATTGGTAATAGAATATCTCATCGGTGGAGCATATCGCAGCAGCTACACCAGGAAAAATTTCAGAGCCTTGTACAACAACCTGTATAGAAAACACAAGGTAGCATCAATGAAAGGAGCCCTAGTAAAATTAAGGATAAGTAGGATTTGTAATTTTAGAAAAAATGATTTTGGGAAGTTCAGCTGGGGTTACTTTCTAAAATGGACATTTTTCTCATCAACATTTATTGAGCACCTGCTATATGTAAAGGACTGTGCTAAGTGCTGCATGCTGACCTAGGACAGACATAAAGATCAGGCGATTAGAAACTAGAGGAAACAGACTTATGAATAACTCACCATAGGACAATATGTATATGTCCTATACATATACATATTATATTAAAATATGAGCTCTGGTGGCTTAGTACCTAAGGCATTTGACTGTTAACCAGAAAGTTGGTGATTTAAATCCACCAGCCACTCTGTGGAAGGAAGACTGTGCAATCTACTTCCGTAAAGATTTACCACCTTGGAAACCCAAAGGGGGTCGCTATGAGTCAGAATCAACTTGATGGCAGTGAGTTTGATTTTTTTGTTTATACAATATATATTTTACATTGATTCCTTGGAAGGAAGGTTGGGCAATCCTACTTCCGTAGTGATACTGCCTTGGAAACCCAAGGAGGGGTCGCTATGAGTCGGGTTTGAGTTGATGGCACATAACTACGGCAACAACAACAACAACAAAATTTTACATTGATAAGGTATTGCCATATTAAAATAGAAGTCATGTGATGAGAAAAGTTAGAGCGAGATACACCTAGTTCTATTTTTGTTTCTTTTATTTTGTTTTTGAAAATACAGACATCAAAAGTTTGACGGGATTAGATGTATAAAACACAATATTGCATAGTCTGGGAATAACAAACCCATACATTGGAAGATGCATGCAGAATGTACTTAAAATATATATTATGCACATTTTATTTTCCATCAGTTTTTAAGCTCTAGAAATGTATAATTGGAATTGCTGGTTAGCAGAGATAACAAAATTCATTTCTTAAAAATACAGATCAGTAACCAGAAGAGACTAAGTCTTACTAAAGGATAGGGAAGTGTTAGTAAAGGTAGTTTAGGGGAATTTTTGGTTGAGGAAGAGCAGGAGCAGTGAGAGGCACAGTGCTGTGGACATCAGTGTGTTTTTGCAGTGACCAGGAGACCTGTGTTCTTGGAGAAGAAGAACCCATAGGTTGTGAGAGATTAAGGTAGAAGGGAGGTTTGCGCTAAGACCACATGAACTATCTAGAATACTAAGCCAGTTTTGACTTTTTTTTTTTTTTTTTTTTTTACTTAATCAGTTTAAGTGAATACTAAACTTGGCTTTAGGAAATGAACAGAAAAAACAAAACAAATGATAACCCAAAATCATAGAGTAAATATTCTTTACTAAGATTTCAAAGGCATAGGGATCACTTAAGAAGGTATCAGCTATTTCATTTAAGCAAAATATACATTTTGGTGAAGTTACTAGTGGTAGGTATAAAGGGTAGGTATACTAGGGTCTTGGTGGGAGCCACATAGAGAGGTTGTTAGGGATGTTACCTTAGGGACCTTTCTAGAAATGGTCCACCAATATTAGATTACCCATTTCTCAGTTTCTTTTCCATTGAAGGAGTGTAGAGATCATTGTATTCACAATACACTAGATTGTAGCAGTTATGAGTACATGGTTTGGAGTAAGACAGATCTCACCTTGAGTCCTAATTTTGCTCATTAGTAATTCTGTAATCCAAATCAAGAAACTTAACCTCTCTATGTGTCAATTTCTTCATCTATAAAATGAGATTAATACTTCTCTCATAAATTTGCCAGAAGAAATATGTAATACTCCAAAATCCATATTCCTGCTACATAGAGGGTGTAGAACAGCTGTTAGCAATAGTAGTCATTGTGATTATTACTATAATGATGCTATTAATTTTATATCATACCATCACTGTGACTACTACTATTAATTTGGGCATTATCTTTGAAAAGGCCTTGACCACATCACTTCTGTGTCTAATTTTCATCCAGAAAACACAAACTAAAAATAAATAAAGCAGTTCAAGGCTTATGGTTTGGTACCATATATTTTTATCTTAGTCCTTTTAAGAATGCTTCCTTTTTTTTCTTTCTCATTGATGAGAACTTCATGATGATAGAGCATGATAACTACATTGCTGTTGGGCCCTGCCACTAAAATTCCAATGGATATATTACATAACACCTGGAAAAATTCCAGTAACTTTCTAATTTAGACGTTAACCTTGGAGCTGTTTGTGGATAGGGACTTTTTCTTATCATAACTGTGAATCTTTATTGCCTATTTTGAACTTGTTCCAGATAGAAAACATCCATTGATTCCAATGGAATTTCCACATAGAGAAGGACTCCAGACATATAGTGGGGAACAAGAGATTGTGTTCTCTTAGATATTAGGAAATAACAGTGTGTTTCATAAAAAGAAGGCTCTTGCTAAGTAAACTTTCCTCTAGAGAGATTAATTGCTAATCATGGGTGAGTGACAGAGATAAACTGAATATCACAACATTATTTGGTATTCATTACTGTCTAGAAATAAAATTTTGTCACCATTGTAATTTTCTTTTTCCCATTTTTGATTTATTTTAAAAATAAAATAACCACATATACCAGAGAGTGACCAACTTTGCTCAAAGCCTTTCCCAGCCCTCCCTTCACCGGAGACGCCACTCGGGAAGTAGAAATGAGTCTGCTGAAAGCACACTGCATTCTCAGTTCATTAGAACAGCCCAGCCTTACAAACTCAAGGTACCACTTACTTGTTTCTAGACTAAAAATAGCATTGGTTTTGCAGACTGAGACTGTTTCTTCATTTACAGCTGGGTAAAGGGAGGTGCAAATACAGGGACCATTTAGAAGAACCAAAAACAGATGACGCAAGGCAGAAGCATAACACACCTGTCCTCTTAGAACAATGAGCAAAGGCTCAGGACAGAGCACTGGCAACTAAATGATTGCCTGAGCTTACACTTGAGCCTCTCTTCATTGTTCCTGCCTCTACCATGTCCCAAGGGTGGATCAGGAAGGCGGTCCATGGGCTGGTACTAAAAAATGTAGTCATTAGTCCAATACCACACCCTTATTCCCCTTTTCCCAGGGCTAATAAGATGTAACTGACGTCTTCCTTCTTCTTCACTGCTCTCTCTGACTCTTTCCATCTTCTTTTTTCCTCCTTGAAGCATTCTTGAAATTAATTTTATCCTAATGTTACAAGTATGATGATGAGAATGTATCTATGTGTATATGTGTGAGAGCAATGTTGTGATTTTCCCTCTTCCTATGCCCCCTCAAGCCCATTTTCCTCTGAGGATGAGGATGAGTGTTTTTGCTCAAGAGTTTCCATATAAATGGTTATGATGTTGGCCCAAAGAAGTATGCTTTCCATGGTTTCTGAGATTAAAATATATTTTGCAAGTTCATTTTTGGTCATCATCAGTAAAAACATATTCCTTTTGTTTGTAGAAATGGAAGAAATTTATTACATTTTTTTACTTTAACTTCTTTAATTCCAAATAATAATAGAACGTTTGTTGTTTTCCAGGCATTATGCTCAATATTTGGTTGAGTTTGGGATGTGGGTGGGTAGGGAAAGAAATAATGATGATTGAGAAATGATCCAGCCTCCCTCTTCAAAATAATAATCATAATGCAACATGATGAGCACTGAAATATACAAAGTGATATAGACATATGTGGGGAGTTAGAGAATGGCATTTGAGTTGAACCGAAAAGAGTGGGTTTACCAGATGGAGAAAATAATTTTATTATTATACCATCACTACTAGAGAAATAGAATCAGAATAAAGGAAAAGCAACTCCAAACTTATTTGGATGCATGTGGGCAACACTAGTGGCATTTCTCTAAGGGGAAAATAATGAATCTGTTTGCTAAGGTGAGATCAGAGTCTTATAGTTTTCATTTCTCCAATAAATTGTTATTTTATCCTGTTCTGTTGAGTATCTGAAAGGGTAGTGTTTTAACTTGTGTTAAATATACTGAAAACATCTCAGCTTAAGGACACTGGATCTATTAAATGCAACAAGGAATAAACTACTTTAAAGGGTCTAAATTTTGGTTGCTAGTTTATAAATTCCTGTTATTATTTCCACCTCTTTATTACCATGATTTTAAAAAATATTTCTTAGATACCCCTTTTGTTTCATTAGGCAAGTAGAACCATTGTACATTGGAGAATTTGGAAACTCACTCCTATTTCATTTTCCAACAGGAAAAGTCTGTAGCCCTTCATAAATCAAGGAAGAAGTCAAAAGAACAAAACATATCAGAGGATCCTGAGTCTACTGGCTTTCTTTACCCTTATAATGACCTGCTAGTTTGGGCTGTGCTCATGAAAAGGCAGAAGATGGCCATGTTCTTCTGGCAACATGGCGAAGAGGCCACGGTTAAGGCCGTGATTGCTTGCAAACTCTACCGAGCAATGGCCCGTGAAGCTAAGGAGAGTAATATGGTAGATGATGCCTCTGAAGAGTTGAAAAATTACTCAAAGTAGGAATTCTCTCTTCACTTCATACTAAACACTGACAGTTCTTAGAATGGCTAGATACTTTTATCTCCCTCACCTTAGAACTTATAAGATAAGTAAACTTATTGCTGTGCATTTCATGGACTCTCCTATTTAAAGGGTCCGTAAATATTTTAAGGAGCTTTGTGGAATAAAGGGAAAAAAAGGTGACCTTCAAGTCAGGAGACTTGAGTGCTAGTCCCAGTATAGCTGTTTACTAATTGGGCAAGTCAACTGATCTTTCTGGCCTAAGGCTTCTTAACTATAAAATATTCAGTTGATGATATTGAAAGTCCCTCACAACTCTCAAGTTCTTTGACAATAAGTCAAGGCAGATCCTGCTGTTTACTTTAAGTGTTCCAGGTGAGTAAAAAGTAAATCAAGTGTATTAAGGAATCAGAGAGTGATGAGGGAGATAGGAAAGTTTTTGACTTTTTGATGATTAAAGTCAGAAATATTTGCCAATTTAAAAATTTTCCTTAGTAGTGAGGAAAGAAGGGAAGCTGAGTTAATGGAAACTAATTTATAATTTTGATTTTAAAAAACAACTCCAGAAAATGATAACATCTACTTTTCAGAGGAAATGCCTCATGAAAAATCAAAAAAGCCCATGGGTTTCCCCAGCTCTAACTTCTTCTAAGTAATTTACAGATTTTGTAAAATCATCAAAATCTATTACATTCTTTAAAATATTAAAAAAAAAAAAATTATGTCTCCAATTTTCCTTAATTGCTTATTCAGTTTTGAACAGTTTTTACTGTCAAGAATTTCTTTATTGAGTCTTATCAGGGTGTCTCAGATCACGATATATATATATATATATAACTCATTGTATCATGTGGCATGTGCTTCTCCTCACGAATGGCTCAGGTACTTCCGGTGTAAAGCAAATTCTGTTTGCTACAGCATATACCCTCGAGTCCTGCTTCTTCTGGAACTTAAGAAGAAATGAGCAGCAATCCCTCTAAAATACCTTCTGTAAACTGAGATTATTAAATTGCTGTTGCTCTTTTTCATCAAGGATAATTAATTTGTCATTTTTTTTTTTTGTCTCATATCCAATCTTTTAGAATGTTCCTGGAGCTCTCACTTGTATTGGTTTTCTCTCATTATAGGCAGTTTGGCCAGCTTGCCCTGGATGTGTTGGAGAAAGCATTCAAGCAGAATGAGCGAATGGCCATGAAACTGTTGACATATGAACTCAAGAACTGGAGCAATGCTACCTGCTTGAAACTGGCTATGTCTGGAGCATTGCGTCCCTTTGTCTCCCATACTTGTACCCAAATGCTACTGACCGACATGTGGATGGGGTGCCTAAAATTGAGGAAACATTCTTGGTTAAAGGTAAATTTACTTGTCTGATGGAGTTGAATCTTAGTTTAGTCTCAAGGTCTGTATTCTTGAGTTCCTTTTTCACTTGTTCGAGAGGTGTATCTTCAGGAAAACCAATTAGTGTCACCTCACAGATAAGCTGGAGTCCTTACCTGTGGAACTTCTGGCAATTACTCCCTTTTCCACTACTGCAGTTTCTTTAAAAAATAAGGGGGGGGGGGTAAATTTATCTACTCTGGCCACCACAAAAACACGTTAAAGTGGAGATGTTTAGAAGATCTTAAAAGCATATACAAACATTGTTCTGTAAGAATTCCCAGGTATATAGTGAGCTTACAAAGGACAAGGTTGTAGTCACTTCTTGGCCACAGCCAGCTACCCGGTGGGAGCAAGCAGTTGGACCTGTGGGCTCGAGACCATGGTCACAGGGGACATCAAGCTCAATTGGAATAACATACTACACAAAACATTGTTCTACCTCCTACTTTCGTGAGTAGTGACTGGGATCTTTAAAGTTTGCAAGTGGCCATCTAGATGCAATGATGGGTCTCTCCTTGTCCAGAGCAAAGAAGAATGAAGAAAACCAAAGATTTCTGGAAACAATTAGTCCAAGGGACTGGTACACCATACGATCCTCAGTCTATATGACTATGAGACCAGAAGAACTAGATGGTGCCCAGTTACCACTGTCAACCACTTGGAGGGGGAATTTATGTAGGAGATCCTGGATTGAGTGGGAGAACAATGTGGAACAAAACTCAAAATCATAAAAAAAATAAAAGAAACCAAGTTTGCTGGTCTGATAGAGCCTGATGGAACCCCTGAGACTATGGCCCCTCGCTGCCCTTCAGGTCTGGAATTGAACCTACTCCTGTGGCTTCCAGCTAAGCTAAAGACAGGTATATAAGCTGAACATTTATATTAGGTAGATACATTTCTTGGAGAGATCAATCAAGGGAGAATAGAAGGGCTGTGTATGCATAGGCAGACAGCTCAGGGGGCAGAAGTGCATGAGAGGGAAAGACAGAAGGAACAGGTAACTATGGGGAAGAAGTGGGAGGGGAGCTGTTGCATTGTGATAAATTGCAGTCAATGTCATAAGACAAAGTATATGTGAACTGCTGTATGGAAAATGAATTTGCTCTGTAAACTCACAATAAAATATATATTTTTAAAAAAAGCATATGCAAACATGCAAATTTTTGTTATTTCCAAACTCCTTTGTCACTAATAATTATAACAACAGTAATTGAGACTTTTTAATGGATTTTTTTCTCAGCTTGAAAATACTAACAGATAAACAACAACAACAAAAAACCAAACTCACTGCCATCAAGTTGGATTCGACTCATAGTCACCCCTCCTTGGGTTTCTGAGGCGGTATCACTATGGAAGTAGATTGCCCAATCTTTCTTCTGAGGCATGGCTGGTGGGTTTGCACCTCCAGCCTCTGGTTAGCAGTCAAATGCCTTAGACACTACACCACCAGAGCTTCCCCCACTAACAGTAAGCTAAATAAAACTATTTTGGTTGTTCAGCTTACCCAATGTGTTGTTTCAGGGAATAAAAGGCTGTTTTATAAGGCTACAGTCACATACATTTGTTCATACCACAGTTCACCCTTATTCCTCACTCTTGAATAATCAACAGTAATTTAGGTAACCACTAAGAACATTTAATCTTTGACATCAAACTAAGCCTAAAGCTTTAGGGTGTGGTCAACCTTAAAAAAGCACATATGCTTATGAAACTGAATAAAAAGACATAAAGCATGAGCATGAAGAGGTTTGTTTTATATTTTAACTTTATTTTCCCTCCAAGGAAATAAAAAAAAAACCCTGCCTAGTCAAACTCACTGCTGTTGAGTCAGATCTGACTCATAGAGACTCCTCCTTGGGTTTCCGAGGTGGTATCACTACAAAGTAGATTGCCCAGTCTTCCTTCTGAGGAGTGGCTGGTGGGTTTGAACTGCCAGCTTCTGGTTAGCAGTCAAATGCCTTAGGCACTACACCACCAGAGTCTCTGAATTATGGCAACCCTGTGTGTGTTAGAGTAGAGCTATTCTACGTAAGTTCTTCAAAGCCTTTTTTTCCCCCCCTAGAAGTAAATTATGAGACCTTTCTTCTACATTGTCTGAGATGTGGGTGAAATCCGTGTCACTCATTCAACAAGCAGTTGAGCTCTTAAGTGTTTGCGCCACTCAGAGACTCCTTATTCTCCCTAGAGAAAAAAATAAAAGACCCAAACCCACTGCCATCAAGTCAATTCTGACTCATAACTACCCCCATTGGGTTTCCAAGGCAGAAAAATTTATATAGAAGTAGAATGCCTCATCTTCCCATGGAGCAGCTGGTAGGTTTGAACCACCAACCTGGTTAACAATCAAATACCTTACCCACTATGCCACCATGTCATGTGAGATTAGGAACACATTTGCAAATAATTGTCTTGATGTTCTGGTTAGACTAATTCCAAGTGGATGGGGACATGAGGAAGATCACTTAGGGTTGTATGTGAATGGGAAAATTCATTAAGTTGATTTTAGGGTAATAGGTTCCAACATTTCTCTTAGAACTTGGGTATTGATTTTGGTTTGTCAAGTCAATTGTTCTGCAGTAGAAAAGGGCAATAGCATGTGAAGTCTCATCAAGAAGTATGTAGGAATGGATTAGTGTAATATGATCACTGTGTGTGCTAACTATGATGTTTCTAGACTTAGAAGATTGCATGAGTTCTGGGTTTTACATCTGAAAAGAAAACAAACAAAATATAGTCCCATATCAGAACTGAAGCAAGTCCAAAGAACCTTCACATGAGGTCAAGCTTTAAAATAGAACAATAAAAGGCCATGTCAGCATGAAAGAAATGAAGGTTGACAAGGTATGACCATGGCATCACTGAGGTTGGTGTCACTCAGTACGATAACTCATAGTGTCATCCCCCCAGCAACCTCCTCCTATACCAGATTATACAGAATCCTTAGTAATGTTTATTATCATTTTTAATCAAAGAAAATGATAAATATAGTTGTAAATAACTTAAATGCAGGATTTCATGGATTATATTAAGTATATATTTGTATATACCCTATGGACCAATTTTACTCTCTCCTATGGGCTTGCTATGGGAGCTCTGGTAGCGTAGTGGGTAAGGCACTTGACTGCTAACCAGAAGGCTGGTGGTTCAAACCCATCAGCCACTCCTTGGAAGGAAGATGGGGCAATCTACTTCCGTAGTGATACTGCCTCGGAAACCCAAGGAGGGGTCGCTATGAGTCGGGTCCGACTCAACAGCACATAACAACAACAACAATATATTTATATGTAGATACCTGTTTTTTAATTTCTTTTTATAAAACATGGAGTCGGTTACACTATATATATTGTTCTATAACTTTTTTTTTCCCAGTTAACAATATATCTTGAGTACTTTTTCATTCTATTCAACATTGCTTTTGTTTTTGTGGTGCTTGCGTAGTTTTCCATATTGCATAATTGTCTCACACCAGCTGTCTCTCTGTAGATGGACATTTAGTTTGACACTGGGTTTTTGGTATTACAAATAACCCTGCACTGAGCATCGCTATCCATATATGCTGGCTCTGATGAATTTTCCTGAGACAGAAATTTCTATAACTGGAATTGCTGAGTCAAAAGTTATGTATTAAATTGGGATATAAACTAAATTGTAGATGGGCCTGGCATTTTGTATATACTTAAATTCTTAATTTTGTTATTTGAATAATATCTGTGCCTTATGTAACCTCTGTTATTTATTTTGCTTTGTTTTCTTTTAAAGATCATCATAAGTATTCTTTTACCACCTACCATTTTGACACTGGAATTTAAAAGCAAAGCTGAGATGTCGCATATCCCACAGTCCCAGGACTACCAATTTACCTGGTATTACAGTGACCAGAATGCCAGCAGTACCAAGGAAAATGCTTGTATGGTTAGTGCAATATTATATCATATGTTCAATATAACAATGAGTTGAGTTTTTATAATATTAATTGCACTGAAACATGCACATATATAAAATTTATTGGCAATCTGTTAAGTGCAAATTTCTGTCAGCACTGTTTCAGTCCAGTGACAACACATGATCCTTGAGTTGTATAGTTTTTTTAAAGCCTTCTGAATCATCAATCAGATATTTAATTCTCTTCTGCATAATTTTAATCATATTCTACTATAGTCAGATGTAGCATGTGTGGTAGACCTAGTTAACTCCAAATGTGATTAAGCAGAATACTCCAAAGCCCAAATAAAAGACAGTTGTTTACCTCTTTATTTTCCTTTCTGACTAGCAGAATAAGTAGACTTTCTATTTTTCTAAAACAAGAATGAGAAATGCTTCATATTCTTAAAATGTTTATTTACAAATGTGCTGGTTTGGAATTTGTGTTAATCATCACTGTTCTACTCCACAAATCTTCTCACTTGTTAAATCCAGTGGTTATGAATAATTTTACTTGATTTCCAATATTTATGCTCTTTCACAGGTAACTTGAGCTACTTACTTCTCTTGCAGCCTTCTTCACTTAGAGAGTCTGCAGTATGTTGTTTGGTTTTTATGCTTCAGCTTAGATCATTACTTATGAAGTTTTTATTTACTGTCAGGAGTAGTAAATATCTTCTTCGGTACTTATTACTTTAATAAGGCATCTTCTCTAGCATTTTATCTCATGTGCTTGTTATAATATTTGAAATTATATTCTCGAAATATTAAATTAAAGCTAATTATCTGTCTATCTATCATCTATCTTTATGGCCGGCATCTGTTGTGATTGGCTCAGTGTTCATTCTGACTCGATAACACCCCTTTCAGACAAGTTGTTAAGTATTTTGACTATTACTCCTGGGTGTGTACGTACATATGACTTCTTCCCTTCCTTCTTTCCTTTCTTCTCTCCTTCAGAATCTCTTCAAAGCTGGGCTAATGAGCCGTACTGGTCACAATGGTTAAGCATTTGGCTGCTAACTGAAAAGTTGGTGGTTTGAACACAGCCAGTGGTTCTGTGGTAGGAAGAGCTGGCAATCTGCTTCTATGAAGATGACAGCCTACGAAGCCAAGTGGGGAAGTTCTGTTTTGTTGCTGTCAGTCAAAAATCGATCCGACGGCACCTGACACTAATACCAAACCTTGGCTGCTCGGCTTGCCACAGTAGTGATTGTACTGGCTAGATGATATAGCTGCTAGGTATAGATGGTTTAATGTATTTTCTTTAAGAGAAGGAATATAGTGTTTATCTAACCCCTTGCGATGGCACTATATTTACAAGTTCTTAGTGAAGGACCATTTGGAGCAGAGCACAGACCAGATACTTTTTTAAAAACAACGAGAAAAACTTTTTGTTGTGATTTGGGTGAAAGTTCACAGAGCAAATTGGTTTTCCACACAAAAATTCATACGCATTTTGTTTTGTGACATTGATTGCAATACCACTTTTCCCACTTCCTTCCTGTGTTTACTGTTTCTGTTTGTCCTTCTGTCCTTCTTTCTGAGCTTTCTGAGCTTCCTGCTTTCTGAGCTTTATCCCTGGGCAAGAGCTGCCCTCTTGATCTTGTGCAGTTGATTCTTCAAAGGAGGGCATACCTCTCTGGTGTTCTTCACCTTATAGACTTGCCTATTGTTTGGCAGAATGTTGAGCCGTGGGGATGAGTTCAGTTCCAGACTTGAAGGACGTCGAAGGGCCATAGTCTCAGGGGTTCTATCAGTCTCCATCTGACTAGTAATCCTGGTCTTTTTTCATTATTTTGAGTTTTGTTCCACATTTTTCTCCTACTCTGTCCAGGACCTTCTATTATGATCTCTTTCAGAGCCAGACCAGACATTTCTAATAGCATGATCAACAGGCATTTATTGCTTACAGAATAAGCAGGACAGGGGTGAGTAGAATAACACACATCATCAGGAGCCTAGGTTTTCTGAAGTTAGGCTCCTGTCCACAAGACTAGATCACATCTAAACATACCCCAATTCACATCTTGGGAGAAGAATGCCTAAATTTCCTCATTGTTAGGATTACATGCTAATCGGAAAGCCGTGTCTACATACCAAATATCATGTACAGAGAGAAGGAGTAATGAAAGGTAAAAGGGGGTAATCAAAGTGAAAGCCCCTTCTAGGACATCATTATTGCCCTTATTCAGACTTTTCTAAATTTGTGGAAGCCAGAGAATGGCTCTTTCTCCATTACCCCTTCAGATAGAGTTCTACGTTTCTTCATAGTGCAGTATATTTCCCCTAAAGCACATACTGTACTTTATATTCATTACTAGCTATTATGTCCATTAACAGCTAGAGAGATGGTGAGTGGGCAATTATTATATAGCACACCTGTGCATCCAGCACCCTTTTAGGCATAGGATGCAATCCTTATGTGTGAAACATTCTGCTTGGCTTTAAGACTATTTAGCTATTCATATTTAGTTTAGCTTACTTGTTGAAGTGTTTAGTGAAGGAAACTGTCTGTCATCTATCTATACACACACACAAATACATAAATATATTGGAAGGTTCTTTTTTAAAAAAACATGCATTTTATTGAAATATAATTTGTGTACAGTGAAATACACAAAACTAAAGTGACATGGGTCAATGCAATTTTTTTTTTCAATGTTCCACCCCCGCTCCTCCCACCCCTGGCAACCAACAAAGAAAGTTTCCCTCAATATATAAACCTTTCCTTGACCCTCCACAACAACGAACTAATACTATATTTGTCCTTCTGTGATTGACTTATTTCACTCAGCATAATGTCCTCCAAGTTCATCCAATAATGTGGTATTTTGTAGACTCTACGTTATTCTTTAGTGCTGCATAGCATTTCAGTATGTGTATGTACCATAGTTCGATCATCTACTCTTTCGCTGATGGGCACGTAGGTTGTTTCCATCTTTTGGCTATTGTAAATAGTGCTGTGATGAATATGAGTGTGCATGTATCTGTTCCTGTCTTGGCTCTCACTTCTCTAGGATATATACCTAGTAATAGGATTGGTGGGTCAAATGGTATCTCCAATTCCAACTTTCTAAAGAATCGCCATATTGCTTTCCACAGTGGTTGTATCACTTCATAGTCCCACCAGCAGTGTATGAGAGTCCCAATCTTTTCACATCCCCACCAGCATTTGTTATTTTCTGTCTCATTGAATTTTGCCATCAGTGCTGGGGTGAGATGGTATCTCATTATTGTCTTGATTTGTATCTCTCTGATGACCAATGATTGTGAGCATCTTTTCATGTCTTAGCATGCCACCTGAATATCCTCCTTGGTGAAGTGTCTATTCATGTCTTCTGCCCATTTTTCAATTGGATTGTTAATTCCTTTGGTGTTGAGGCATTGGAGTTTTCTATAAATCTTGTTTGTATGTTATCTACACAAGTATGGATTACATCTCAA